TGATCTCATTCAGTCTCCTGGCTTTGCATCTCACTGGTACCGATGGTTGTGACCTCATTCAGTCTCCTGGCTTTGCATCTCACCAGTACCGATGGCACTAAAATTGTATCTTCAGCTCTGACCACTGCCCCAAGCAGATGTCTGTAAACACAGCTGTCCTCAGAAGCTTCTCATGCGGCTGAGACTCCACTTGCAAACCATGTTCCCCATGGGTTGTTTTCAAGGTCTTCCTTTTCAGCGAGTGGCAATTCCAGTCTTCCACGGCTTGGACACCGCACACTTTCCTCCACCTTCAGAGTGTAACCAGGGTCTGCTGCTCGCCACGCCCATGGTTTTTGTCGGTTTCCTCCCCCTCCCCTGCCTAGATTCTCCACCATGGCTTCCTCCTGGAGTCCCTGTTTGTACTCATGCCCTCTATATCCAATTTCCAATGTAATATAGTTCAGGTAATATGTGAAAAGGTCAAAGCTGTCCTTCCTGTACTTGAAACCTTCCCATGACCTCCCATCAGCCTTTAAGTAAAAGTTAAAATACATACAAGAGAGCCAGCAAGACGGCTCCTTAGGTCACAGCGATTGCTGCGCAAGCCTGGCGGTCTGAGCCCAGCATCAAGGAGTACAGAAAGAACCATCTCCGTAAAGTTGTCTCGTCCTCTGACCTCTGCGTGTGTGCGTGTGTGCGTGTGTGCGTGTGTGTGTGTGTGTGTGTGTGTGTGTGTGTGTGTGTCCCCGACACAACCTGGCTCTTCCCTGCCTCACCCTCTCGGCCAAAGCTTACAGGTCTGGCTCGGCCTTCCTGGGAAGCTGTCCCAGTCACATGCTTCCCTCTCAGCTTCTTCGGGTCCAAGACAAATGTCAGTGAGGTCTCTTCTGAAGGCTCTTCTTCCGCCCTCAGCCCTTCCTTCCCTGGGGCACTCACATGGTTGTCTTTGTCCGGAGTCTCCCCACCAGAGCGCTCCTGGGAAGGGGTCCTCAGCTGCTGTGCACCGGCATGTACCACTCACTCAAGAAGCACTGCCGGGGTGCAATGAGCCGCCCACCCTCTGTCACAATCAAAGGTGTGCAGACACGGGGGACCCGATGACAGGGACTGACATGGCAATGTGGCTTAGTAAGACAGCAGCCAGAGAAAAGCCCACATCAATAAACACAGGAGGGAAGGAGGGAAGAAAAGGGGAAGGAAGGGCCAGCAAGCACAGAGACACACAGAACATAACCCATAAAGAACGCCCCCACACACCCCCAAAACAAGAAAATTCCTACAGTTTTCACAAGTGACTCTGCTCTGGAGCTTCAGGCCACAGTCACTACAAAGCCTCTGGACTGGAGATAACAACCAGATCTGTAAGATGGAGAGGAGCCGGCAGGACCTAAGAAGCTGACAGCACAACGGGCCAGATCCACGCCCGGGAAATGATCAAGATGCACACAGTGTATGCAGAAAGCAAGATGAAGGACACAGAGGCCGCTGCGGTCATAATGGATAGGCAGGAAATACAATGAAAAGAGCCAAATGAAAGCAGAAATATGTCCTGTCACACAAGACACTTGGCACTCCCGAGGCGGGCAGGCGGGCGGTTGGGGCTCCCAAAGAGGAGACAGGCAGGCACAGAGACACAAGAGCACTGAGTATGCCGCGGAAAGAGAACTCTCGGAAGCTGCGTCAGGGCTGAGAAATGCTTAGCTGAGGGCGCTTTCTCTTCGGGGGACTTCAAAACAGAACAAAACACCAATACAACAGAAAGGCTAGTGAGCTGCCAGAGAAGGGCGGAATGGGAAACTGACAGCCAGCACTGAAGAAAGAGCCTGTCCTACACCATGCACTGCTTTGTTGTTGTTGTTATTGTTTGTGGGTTTTTTTGTTTTGTTTTGTTTTGTCTTTTTGAGACAGGGTTTCTCTGTGTAGTTTTTGTTCCTGTCCTGGATCTCGCTCTGTAGCCCAGGCTGGCCTTGAACTCACGAGATCAGTCTGCCTCTGCCTCCCGAGTGCTGGGATTAAAGGCGTGCGCCACTGCCACCCGGCATGCACCACTGCTTTAAGAGTGGGAGACGTGCCCTGTTTCTACAGGTCCCGTCCCACGGGTGTGTGGGGGACGCTGTTAGATGCTGAGCAGTGCCCAGGAGGAACAGAAGGCAGACAGAGTGCTGGTTTGGGAGAGAACCGGACACTGCTCCTGGTAGGAAGGGTCTCTCACAGGCCACACTTGACCAGCCACATGAAGGCACCGAAAGCCACCGTGGCTGTCCGTGGAACAGTGAGTGCAGCCTCAGAGACTGCAACCAGACCATGTCACATGGCTGGAGTGCAATGGGAGAGCCAGGAGCTCAGGCCGAGGGGTCTGGATACAACAGCCGGTGAAGAAGTGGAAGGCTGTGCCTCCAGAGATGGCGGCGGGACTCTGACATCTGTGCAGCACTTCTGTAGGAAAGGAAACAGCTTTGTAGATAAACACACAATAAGACAGGGCGGGACGGAGTTCACGGTAAAAACATCTGCCTAGTGCCGGCAGTGGTGGCACACGCCTTTAATCCCAGCACTCGGGAGGCAGAGGCAGGTGGATCTCTGTGAGTTCGAGGCCA